TCCAAGACACACAATGTCTTAATATCTCAGCTTCGGTTTCAGTTCATGAGCTGGCTGTGAAGCGTTTAATAAAGACCTTCGTTTATCATGAATGCCGCCCGACAATAACCGACCAACCGACCAACCGACATCGACACCGACCGCACAATGATAGAGCACAGAGGCAACTGTCTGGGCAGGTCTTGCCGGCAGCCTGTTTTTTCGGACCGGCAATGTGCAAAATATTTTTTCGACTATTGATTCCTCTGCCGCGCACACACACACGCACACACATACTCGTATAGCTGCAGGGCCAGATACAGATACTTTATCGTTAATTCAATATACAAAAATACGTATACGCTACGTTGTACACAGACGCGAGACAACTTAACGAGGCGTGGGGCCAAGACAGGTGCTGGATGCGTCGTTTGTACCCAAATCTTAATCAATTTTCGCACTAAAGACCAATAAAATTGAATTGCGGTAAACAGCAACATCAACACCAACATCAACGTCAACGTCAAGCACACACACACATACTTATCTATCGTCATTGTATCGTTATGTTGGGAGGCTGGGCGTGTCTCTGCTACCCACCCACTTTTTATTGGCTGGAACAGAATAAATAAATAACACCCAAAGGTTGTTGTTTATTATCTTTGTGATGTACACAGATTTCCATTTGATTATGTCGATAAATGCTTTATACGTCAATTGTTTATGTATGTTAAGTGTTGTGTTGAGTGATAACATACATACATACATACTTATACTTACTATATACAATTTATCTTAATTTGATAAGCTGCTTAACAAAGCAAAACACAGAAATGTTTGCAGGCAAAGCTCTATATTTTTGAACAATATAATTAGATTTTTCAACCGCCTAAATCAATATATGTATAGCTGCATAAATGTACCCGTTATCTCATTATAATTGTTATCTTTATAATGGCTAACATCGGTTAGCAGTACAAGCACAAGATAAACAGAATGATATTGGCAATGCATGGGGCACAGAGTCAGGGCTTTTGGACTTTGGCAAACCAACCAACCCAACTCTGTTATCTAATAGACTTCCAGCCGAACAAAGCGTCTTCAAAGACAAAAATTATCTACACGATATCGCTCCCTCAATAATCAAAATATTACAGATTTCTTTAGTACGTTCATTTTTACAAACAACTTCAACACTATTTTAAATTAATAAATTAATTTATACAGATACTGTAAGAAACCCTTACTTAAAACACCTAACATTTAATATATTTATTTTACTGTTATTTCATTGTGGCACTAGTAATTATACTACTTTGATCACAGTATAAATTGAGAAATAAATCGTTCTTGTTCATATCTAAGCGCATTTAACGTATTCGCACAACTTTCAATTGTAAAATATTTACTTATATATAGTATATATGAAAATGTTACGCTTTCTAATTGGAAGAGCATCTAGAGCAGTCCAATAGTGCCAGTTATTAGCGGCTATCTTATATGTAATGTAAAGATTATAATGGATTTTTAAGTATCCAACAAGCACTTGGGTGATTGATGAATTATATTTAATTGAGCTATCTACGCTTTTGATGAAAAACAGTTTGAATATGTGAGTAAATAAAAAAAGATGTTTGAGGTTACTCGTACTTTATGATCTAAAAAGACGAGTCCAATTATATATAATGATTATTATCAACTGGATTATTATAGAACTGGATTATAAACCAACAATCATTCATGACACTATACCTCATACTTCTATCATAATTACTTAGCGCTGCATGATTTAAAAACTGTACTTAACTGTCCTCATACTCAACTGACCATTATACCTCACTTTTTTAAATTATTTAAATGTTTTTCATATATTTTTACAAAATCCATCCATTTCCTTAAAATAAATTGAAATTACATTCATATTGTTTCCAAGTGAGCTTTCGTTCAATATGAGCTCAAATCCTATAAATAATTATAAATAGTTTGTATATGTATGTATAAATAGGTACGTAAGTACAAGTATAAGCCTATACAAATTAGAGGAACACTGCTGATGTTGCTATTCAAATGGTGGCATCGTGGCGCCAATTAGCGCTTGCTGCTAAATTAAATTAATTACCAGCTAATTAAACTAAATTCGTGCGACACTCAAATATATGCAAACAAAGAGCAAAACCTGCGAACGCTCGACCACTTGCAATTTCCGATGTTTACTTTGGCGGGATGGGCCTGTGTCTGACTGGATGATTGACTGGCTGGCTGACTAGCTGGCTGACTAGCTGGCTGATTGGCTAGCTGGACTGACTGCGACAATATGTTATCCGATATTCTTTTAATGCGTTGTTCGTCTCTGGACAAATATCCAAATACAAAGCGATGCATACCAGTTCGTGCCTGCTAATTGACTTAATTAATACAATTATTACTCTGCCGGGCGCCGGCCCAGACAAAAATGAACAAGATGTATGTAGATCAGATAGCTGCACTGTCAAATATGTGCGCTGAAAATATTTTTGAATACAATTCAATTTTTGTATGCCTCGCATTTCAATAAAAGTGAATCAATTACGCGGTGTTTTTGTTTGTTTGTGTTAAATTGCTGCCTATTGCCAGGCGCAAATTGGCAAGCTTTATATTTATTGATTGTTTTTTTTTTTTTTTTTGGCATATATGTGCCAAGAATACACACTCATATGCACATACTTGTGCATATGTATTTGTTGTCTACCTGGCCAGCGTAGACTCTGCAGCTGCTTTCATTTAATTGATGTCTAAAGTGCTTGTTTACAGTCGTCGGCACCATAGCCGCCAACGCCACAACCAGCGGAACCATTTTACCAAATTGGAAAAGCAAACCGGCACTTGGCACAGACAAAGTGCTGATTCTGCCCTTGCTCTCCCCATTTTACTGATCCTGCCGCTATTACCAACAATTTGAATTGTTGGGCTTATAATTAATGCATTTATGCAAAATTTCCGCTTCGTTGCCAATGACAAATGTAAATAAACATTTGTTTTGATTTATGCGCAGTTAATTACATGCTTAAATCATTGAATGCCGCCGACCGTACTCAGACTGATTGCAAGATGAGCACCGATATTGTTAATGGCCAAATCAAATAAAACAAATGCAAAATTAATGCTATATTTACGAGTATAGGTGAGAACGTTTACATATCATCATAATGTTAATCATTTGTTTTGGCCGCGCGCTTAAGATAGCATTAGCTATCTGTTTCTGCTGGTCCTACCTATCTATCGACTTTTAAATGTGTATATATTTGTATGTACGTATTGTTATTGTCATGGGGAAGTTAATCGTTATGTTTGTGGTATCAAATCGACAGCCTGCATTATGGCCTATGTCTAGAGCTCTATGCGTGACAAAGAGCTGGCGCACTGGCGATACAATAAATATGTCTCGTATTTGGTAAATTAACCAAGTATTTATAAACCTAATCGTAACGTTCACAGCCATAATTATTTGTTCGTCAATATAGTCTAACGTGTAATAACCAACATTTATTTTAAGCTTTTCTTTTTCAACATTGTTGCAGACCAGTGGCCTCTGTCATTATAGCAGCTCTACTGTTACCTAAAGGGTAAAAGGTTATCCAAACTAAGTGTGAAGGTATGTAACAAAAAGGCGGAGGCGCGGCAGACCCAATAATTTGTTTATATTCCCAATCAGTGTGAGGAACTATTCGATATAACCATGACCGTCTGTTTGTTCATCTCTCTGTCTGTCTTCCCTTCTGTGGGTCTGTATGGTCGCAAGAATTTCGGAAAGTGCAACAAGTGAAAGAATAATAAAAACTAGATGTATCCAGCAATTAAAACGCTGATCTTATTATTGCTGGTTAGAGTGTATCGACACCTTTTAGCAATTGCGAGAAAAAAGTGATATATAATGATATACTGACCGCTTCACAAACTTCGCAGTCATTTCGATTGGCATTGGTTGTTACTCACGAAAACCACAGGTTATTTTTAGGCAGACTATACATTAGTTTATTCTCTGTATTTGTCTCTTTCTGTCAAATATTGGAACCGAAATGATCGAATTATTATCATCAAATGATATACGTGTAGACTATACGTTCCATTAGTATGTATTGTCTTCGAACTCAATACAGTTTTTATTTTGAAAGGCACGTGCCGTCTGCCTCAAAGATATTCCCGCAACTCACACTTATTTATAATATCATATCTGCTAATTTGTTAAGCATGCCATGAGATGAATAAAGACGAAAACCTCTTGACGAGGTAAAAAATAAGTGGCGAAGGCCACTGTTGGAGTATCTACCAAGATATTGTAGAAGTCTGATAGTTAAATTGATTCGCTAACAATTTAGCTTAGAATTGAGCAATATGGATGAAATTTGAAACATAAGTATGGAATTATAATAATGAATATTACGTATTCAAAGTCAAATTTTAAGACAAACGCACATACAAACAGAAAGACGGACAAATGGACAGACATATCTAGGTCGTTTTCTCTTGCCGTAATGGCTAAGAACATTATATACTTTATGAAGTCGGAGATGCTTCCTTCTACCTGTAACATACATACATACATACCTTTTTACCCTTCGGGTCAAGGGTATAATATCTTTAATACTCTATGACCACTTTAGAACTGAAAAACAAAATAGAAAAAACTTAAATTAAACTATCATACAATAAAGAAATTGTCTAATTTGGCTTCATTTTAGCTTCAAGAAACACTACTCTTGTGTCTGGCGAAAAAAAATTCATTTTCCACATATGTGTTGTATTGAAAGCTTTCGGTTTGACAGGGACCTTCAAAGTTTAGTGACTGCTTCTGGAAGTTGAAGGTAAAAAACGGAAAGTTGCTTTCAATAAATCGATTCGACGTACAGTTTCCATGGCAATCAATGCCTTCTCGACGACTGCTTAGCCAAAACATTAACATTCGCTTGTCCTCAACGCGTTAGTTTTGCTGTTGAGTTCTGTAAACATTTGTTGCTGGTGGTGCTGTCTATTGTTCAAAAAATATGGGAATGTTGCACAATTTGGCCGATTTGCTCAAGATTAAGAAGGATAAGATGACAATTCTTGTGCTCGGTCTAAATAATAGTGGCAAATCAACGATAGTCAATCATTTCAAAAAGTCAAATGAACAGTCGGCCATTATGGTGCCAACTGTGGGATTCGAACAGCAACAATTTTACAGTAAGTTTGGCTTAACTAGCATTAACAAATCAATGTTTATTAACTACACAGTTTTCTCTAGGCATGGGCGTAACCATTAAGGCAATCGATATGTCGGGTGCCACAAGATACAGGAAAGTACTATATAACCCCTTCACAATGCCAACTTCAACCAATCTCTTTACCACCTCTTTAGGAACCTCTGGGAGACGCGGTTTAAGACCTGCCAAGGCATCATATACGTTATAGATTCGAGTGACTATATGAGATTCGGTATTAATTATTTTTTAATGTTTTCGTGCAATGAGGCGAATAAAGATATTTTGTTATTACAGTTGTTGTCAAAGACGAATTGGAGGCTCTATTACAACATCCTGACTTGATGAATCGAAATATACCGATTCTTTTCTACGGAAATAAGTCGGACTGCGAGGACGCTCTCTCCAGCGTTAAAATAGCAGCAGGTGCGTAAGCCCTGCAAAATTCAAGGAGTTGAATATGAAACATTTATGGTTTAGCTCTGGGACTGGAAAATATTAAGGAGAAGCCTTGGCACATTTGTTCGAGCAATGCGGTTTCCGGTGAAGGACTGGAGGAGGGAGTCCAGTGGCTGGTTCAGCACATACGATACGCTATGTTAAACAGTCATGATGGTGCCAAATTGAAGGCTCACTCTAAAAACAAATAAATTATTTCAAATTGGGGAATTGCACGTTCTCATTGAAATTATGGAATTGAGCCAATTCTCAAAAGTTTTTTTTACCACATATGTTATATGAGAGCTGCCCTTAGTGTCTATTTTGATGTAAATAAGATTTTCACAGCACGTTTACCATCGAAAGAAATAAGAGACGGACATTTGTGTTGTGAACGACTATATAGCACACGTATATAAATACAAGTATATGTCAAGGCTGGCGACTACATAAGTACAAGTATTTCGTACGTGAATATGATAACCAAATGGCTATCACGACATTTCGCATAAATACACTTTATTATCCTTATTTGCAGTGAGTTGTTATTGCTAGTATTTTTTTTAAAGTACATAGTTGACGGTTGATTGCAATTAAACTTGTATACTCACACAAACATACAAGTGATAAAAAAAAGATTATCCATTTTAATGGGAAGCAAGCGCTTCCGACGATTTTGAAAATATTTCAGCCAAAGCTAATGAACCCACAATGACTAACTTGACAAGCAATGACTCCCTAATTAATTGGCAACAAGCTATTATTTTATTATTCCCGCTGCAGAATTTCTTCAACACTTTTATGCCGCAAATTTCATAAATACTCGTAATAAAAGAAAATGTCACCACTTAAAACTTTGTCACTTCAAAATCTGCACAGCTTCCTACTTATACTTGTAAGAACAATTTGCTTGATTACCCAGAAGCCAACAAAATGTCTTGTTAATCAGTTAATGAAGCAATAGAGCCAATAGTGCTTCTTAAAACATTGCTACTGCAGATGAAGGAAACTAACTGGTTTGTCCTTATTTGCATAATTATGGAAAGGAGGCTAAAATCGTTGCATACCGAGCAAAATATTGAAATTCCAGTCACATACACTTACACAAGTTCCGCATTCACAACCGTATCTAAAATCTTACCAAAGTCAAACTTTCGTAGCAATTAGATTTTACGTTCCACAGACTCGAACTCAGATATTAGTTTGTTTAGCTTGGCTTTCTTAAAGCAACGGGTCTACCACATTATGTAGTGCCATGAAAAGTTTTGTCAAAGTTCTTCGCACACATTTAGTCGAAGCTTATATGCATCTAAACGTTGGAGCTTGTATGCAAGCAAGAAAGCAACTTCGACTGTCTGTCATTTTTTACTTTCACTTACGTATTCTGAATTCCCTCGAGCTACGTGACATACAGAAATTTTTCTAGCTGCTACTACAGGCACTTGACCTTTGGCACCGTGTTCGGGATGTCAACGATGTCAAGTACACGCGAATTTTGCCAATGTACTCTATTACCGCACTCAAGCGCGAGTGAATCCCTTGGCAAGCCATCCAAAAGTATATAAGTGCGCCAAGTTAAATGGTTGCGGATGGGGGCAGGTGCCACTCAAAGAATCCTAAGAACATCACGCGCACTTTAAGTGTTTTCCTACATTTGTTTCTGCGTTCTTGTCGTGCGAAAGCAATTTGCAATCAACAACCGAACGCCAAGTGCAACCAATTTTTGTTTGTTTATCCAACAACCGCGTCGACAACTGCCGTGGTGCAGTAATACATACAGACTATATACAAGTATATATAAGTATTTATAAATGTAGGTATGGAGGAAAATGGCAACCAAATATTTGCCATTGTAGCCGGCCAATAAATGGCCATATCCATTTGGCCAGTGCTAATTGGCATTGTTATTAGGCCGGAACTGTGCGACCCCGACGCGACCTTTCCAAAATGCCGCCCACGCGGCCGTTAATTAAAATGTTGTCAGCATTAGATTGCAACGCGTGACCGCAGTTAAGCTTTAGGTAAATAAATAAATTCCACTTGCTTTATCGTTTCATTTGCCGCAGGCGAACATTTTTATTGCTCCAGTTTAATTCCATATTTGTATTTTTGTTGCCCAGTTATTTGTCTTTAATGTGGAGCATCTTCGGAGGCGGCTGCTTTTGCTCTTTTCCCATACGCAAATACAAGTAAACAGACACATTGGTCTGAATTGGTCTGAGATACACGTACTTCGTATAAAAAATGAACTCCTGAGTATATGACTCGGTTTGAATCACGGCGTTATCATCATCGCATAAAGCATGATTTCGAAATTACTTACAGTTTTCAAAATTCTGTAAGATTGGTGTCATAAAAATGTCAAGCTGTGGTGTTTGGCCAAATCTGTAGGATGATTCCGCAGCATAATAAAAAAAAAAACATATCAGCAATAGAAAAAGTTTTCATGCAGTTTTCTCTCACAGAGCACTCGATTTACTCAAGACAGATTCTGAACTATTTCTCTAAATCGTTACGATTTCATTTTTCTTAATCTGCACATTACTTAATAGAATTATATTTTTTATTATTAAGTTAAAAATTGAGTATGCATAATTCAAATTTTAGTGTTCGTGGAATCTGGAAACTTTATTTCTTTTTATTTGAGTTTGAACTACAAATATTCCAGCTTCTGTACATTTGGCGGGCAAGTTTAAATTGAAATTAGCATACAATCATATTTAAATAAAGCTCGACTCCCTTTCAAAATAAAACATTCCCAAAACCTTTGCGTATTTCATGATTTTATTGACCTCCATTAAAGACCACTGTGCATGCTATTCTATTTGTTGATAGTTTTTACACTACACCGTATGCGTGTTGGATTTTTATGTTTTATGCGTCTCATAAATGTGTGATCTACTTGTAAACAAAATTGTAAACACCATTATTTTGCACATACACGTACATATGTATGTATGTAATTTTGTGCTTTGTGTTTATGTGATTGTTTGTGGCTCTATGTTGGGCTGCTCGTCTTTTTTATAGTCTTGCGGAAGGAACCAAAGCATTGAATGGAACGACGAACCAACAGACAAAGAGACAGACAGGCAGGCAAAAAAGATAACACAAGCGAACAGACAGCCATAAAAATATTGAACCGTGTTTTGTGTATGCCAATGGAATATTTTTCGCCTCTTGGGCATTTTATGAATTTATTTAATTGATGTCATTTCTTGTTCAATTTGAACCATTATTGGACACGAGACAGTTTATTGGCATTGGGTCGACCATATGACTAGGCAAAGGTTCACATTCGATTGATGTGAATGGTATCCAGGGAAACGCAAGAAAACTCAATTGGAATCAAATGTACGAGATGTAAAAGTTGATTTATAATTGAACTTCAGCTTAAATACTTAAAGTGGTCGAATCTGAAAGTAACTTTAAAATTTCTTGAAAAAATTAAATATTTTCTGAATATTGAATATTTGCTTTGCTAAATTTAAAAAACTTGTAAAAGGAAGCTGCTCCCTTTAGCATATATTTTCGTACAATATCAAAATAATATGAAACACTCTGAATTAATGAGTTCGTTTATACCCAATGCTCGGTATGGAAATTCGTACATTAAAAAATAGAAAAAAGAAATAAAAACAATGTGTACAAAATGTTAAGCAACGAGCAAAAAGCTGTTATTAAACCCTATTCATATGTACTAATATAAATGTATAATAAATGTTTTGATACAGGTTTTAAGCCTTGATGTCATTAAACAAAATGCTCTTAATCAATTCGTTTATACACTTTTGGAGTTAATTTCTTTTCAGATTTTATCAAATATATATTTTAAATCGTCTGTAGCTGCTTTTCAAGTATTTAAGCCTTTCTGAGACTTTTAAAGCAAATTCCCTTCATTTGGCAATATGCTTATGGAACAAAGGGAACATTCAATTATGTTTGAAAAATTAAGCTTTCGAAAAATCCTAAAATTGAGAGCCATCTTAAATCAGATGAATTTTCTATAAGTCGTATTCGTACGCATGAAATGAGGTCTTCGTCCTCTTAAACAATGTATTACAATGTTGTCATTTGTTTATTTTATAGCCATAATAAACTCTAAAATCTTATCACGAAAGACATATGTATAGCCTCCAGCTAAGGCAGAGGTTTTAATGCACGCAGCTTGCAGAGGTTTAAGTCCGATTTTAAAACACACTTCAGTGCATTTTGTGCTTATGGTTGCACATTTGCTTGCATACTAAGAAATGTGGTAAACGAAAACCCAAGATTTTACTTAATACATATAGTGGAAGCGAACATTTACGAGTACTAAAGTATTTGCCGAGTTCGTCACACAGTGAGCCAACAGCTTCTGTTTTGAACACGATGTGGACCGTATTTTGCATAGCATTGTGGTTTAAGTTCGAATTGCAGCAGTTGGCTGCTCTTTCCAAAGTTTTGGGCGGTAGATCAAGACATCTCGACGTCGTCGTTCAAAATAAAACGCAGTGTTTTGAGCAGATGCTCTTATTCTTGTTGTTGTGGTACTTGCAGCTGCTTTTGTGGATGATGTTGTTGCTGTTGGTGAGGGTGCTGGAGTGCTAAACTTGGTCTGTGTGGTTTTATGTGGCATTTATGTTGCACAGTTAACCGTAAGTCTGGCGAACTAAAAGATAACATAAAATTCAATTATTTTATTAGAGTTGGCAACACGAAGTGGAGATTTCTTAAAAGGCATGCTTTTAGGCGTCTCCTAAAATTGCACACAAATTACACACAAAGAATTGATTAAGCCGTCAATTACCGCACATTAAAGTCGCTAAATAGACACAAACACATGCAAACATTTCAATTAACCTACACACATACTTGTACTACATATGTACAGTACGACTTGCTTGAGAGAGTCGCTGCCACGTTCTTTTTGACACCACAAATTAGTGTGCAATTGGGCGTATCCAGAGTTTTGGGCACGATCACCTTAAAGTCACCAAACAGCAATTTGCATATCGTTTGTAACGTACTCGTATGTATGTATGACAGCTGTCATAATTGTAAAATGAAACCTGTAGCGATGATTTCCACAATTTTACAAGGCTGTTATTAAGTGAATGCTGATGAGATTAAGCGATTAGTAATTTAAATTTATTGCTATAGAACAATAACATCATCCATGGGGGGCGTTAAGCAGCGTTATTTACAAAGCAGATCGGTTACAACAATAACAACTGGACACACACAAACACACACAGATACTTAGTCATAGCCACGAAAAGACCCATAGACGCGATCGCGTCCATAGCCACCGCCACCGGCGACGGGCAGGCCAAAGCGATCGGTATTCTCAAAGTAACCCAGACCACGATTACGCTGGCCACGGTATTCGGGCTGCCAGTAGCCAGAATATTGACGTAAGCCGCCATTACCTCCATAGCCGCCATAGCCGCCATATCCACTAGATCCTAGGATATTCGTTGTTGGGTAATAACTTCCTCCTCCTGTGCTGGGATAGTAACCAGTGCTGGGAGTGTAGCCGGAAGTGGGATAGTAACCTGAACTGGGATAATATCCCGAACTGGGGTAGTAGCCCGAGCTGGGGTAATACCCCGAAGTGGGGTAATAACCCGAACTGGGGTAATACCCCGAAGTGGGGTAATAGCCCGGTCTATAGCCAGTATTGGGATAGCCACTCTGTCCAAAGAGACTACCCAGATTTAGCACTGAATGGAAAAAAGAGAGAGAATATTATAAAGGATTATACAAAAATTCTTGCAGAGAAAATAGAGAATAAATTAATAGGTGTTTTTCCCAATTGATTAATTTACAAAAATTTAGTTCATTTAACAAACTCAAAGTCACGACATTTCAAAACATAAAATAAATGGGACTGTCCATATTTTTAAAATAAAACTTATCCTTTACATGCTCTGAAAAATGAGTCAACTTATAACATTTGTTAGAGAATACTTTCTACAATTTATTACTCTCTTTGAAATGTACACAATTTTATGTGTAATCAGTTAAAATATAATGATACATTTAACTATATATATCTATATTATCTTCAAGAAATAAAACTTTGAAATCAAGCTATAGGTCATACCAACAGTATGCGATTTTTCAAATTAATAGTTAATTATCAGATTTAGCCAAACTCTTATATAATGAACTGTTTCCACTCAAAATAAAAAATGCCTAAATAGAAGAAACAGCATTAAATTCCATGTATATTCAAGTAATATCTCAAACTCATTAGCTAATAAAAATTTGGATTAACACAAAATTATATTTCATATATTTAGTCTACAACTTAGTTTATTCTTTTAAAGCTCCTTCATTAAAGTGTATTAAATCTTAATACAAAATTTTTCCCCAGCGGGAAATGTTACAGCTGCTAGAACTTTCCTTTTATTGTTTCGTGTAAAATAATTTACAACTAAAGATTTAAAATCCCTGAAATGCCCTGGCGTTGATATAAAAATAGCTTACAGTATTTGTTACTTAAAGTTTAAACTCAAACTCACGCTTAGCTGATGTTTCCGCTGTGGTCAAATCACTGGACCTGGCATCCCCAGCGGGGGCTGGTGCTGCGTAAATGAACTTATCCAATATTCCGCAAATAGAGAGCTGGAAGGAGGCAACGAGTGGTGCTGCTGCTAAACGTAATTGGCTCAATTGACTTGACTGACACTTACCAATATCAGGAGCCATAGCTTAAAGAACATTTTGCTTTACTTTAGACTAAATTGATTTTAAAGCGGTAACACTTATGTGTAAGTTAAGTTCTTTGTGCAACAACAACAATAGCAACAACGGCAGCAAGAAAAAAGCAAAAGCACTGTTTGATGGACTGACAGGGGCAACACACAACAACCGCTTGACTCCACGACGTTTGCACGTTAAATAATTCTGTTTCCCATTGTAGCAGCCAATTTATATTTTTCATTTTCCGGCTGAGTTGTTGCTGCGCTCAAGTCGACAGCGCAGTCGACGTCGCGACGTTGAAACAAACAAACCGAAACATACAAAACAAAGCCTCACCAAAGCAGAGAAGCTTCGACGACTTAGCACAATAAACCAAAAGGCCCGGCCAAGTCGCATCGCGCACTTAGAAGCCCAGTTAAAAAGTTTCGTTGATGTTTATTACTCATACGCCACGCGAACACACATTGCGAGAGTGAAACCAACAACAAAAACAACAACAGCAGCAACTATAAAAATGGGCATACAAATGAACTTGACGCACATTCGTCTTTAATGTTGTTGTTGTTGTTGTTGCAGTTGTTGTCGCTCTTCAGAGACTACAAGCTTGCGATTACGAGTAATATTGTATTAGATTCTCATACAAAATAACACCTCCAATTTTCACAACAGACAGGTGACAAAAATAAACTTTGTCTCTTGCTCAAGCGTAACTTTATTTTTTCTTTATATATATAGATACATACGAGTACATATATTTGTTCACGTTGCGTTGAAATCTTTAGCAAACACAAACAATTCAACAATTGCTTATTTGCCTCAGTTTGCAGATCGCTTTCTTTCATGTTTCGCCGCCCCATTTTCTGGGGTTTTGTATATTTCTTTTTCCTTCGATTTATGAGAACCCCGGCCCAAATATTACTTGCTTAGCATCATAATTCCAATTATCCGCACTGAGCATCGTTGCCAACAGAAACTTGCGCCGCTTGAGCAAATATTTGCCAGCACTCGAGTACACATACGAATACGAATACAACGAATACACGAGGTATCTTCCTTTGCTGTTATTTTGCCAGAGCTCCAGTACAACTTCTGCTTTGTTTGCATTGCTAGGCAATGCCCTTTTCCTTTCGGTACGGCCACATTGTTTTCGCATTTCTTATTTGCCTCTTACATAACCCACAGTCCAAGACAAGGCAGTGATGGCTTCGAAAACACTTAACGCCCTTGAGCTTCCACTGAAAATTCATTCATAAATGAGTTGAGCCATTTGCCGTGGAGGTGTGGCCGATTGTGTCACTGAGTGCGCTGAGTGCGAATTCAAACTTTTGCGTACAGTATGGGAGGCCAAAAGGGACAGCCATCTTTATTAAAGCAGATTTGGATTTTTTTCTTAAAAAACTTAAAATTGTTCTTTTTACTCTGTGTTGAAAGTCTGTAAAACATAAAATGAACCGAGCTAGCTACGGTAATTGAACAAATCAAGCATATTTATTGTAGCTAGAGCCTTAAGGTAGTAGAGCTGCCCTAAAAGCACTAAGAGCCCCATTTAATGCAATTTATGAAAGCTGCGTAAAGTACTTCCTCTCTTCTGCAGCCTAAAAGCAAAATACAATTACTAACAGTTTGCTAGAATAAGAAAATTGCGCTTAATTGTTAGTAGAACGTAGCTTACTGACCTATGTCAACCTATTCTGTATAAAAAGCTGTTCTAAATCTCAGACAGATGCTTAAAGATATCAGTATGCCTCGAAGCTAAGTTAACATAAGTTATATTAAATAAATAATTTTTAAAGTTTTGAAGTAAGTAGAACATCAGCAATTGCAAAATTAGTTTGCTCCCATTAAATTATTTTTCTTCAGATTAATAATATGAGTATTCAATTAATGATCCCAACGATGTGTTTAATATTTTGATTGCACTAAATTCTAGAAGCATGAATTTCATGAGGCATAGTTTATTGGGGTAGGTTGGGAATTGCTACGCTTATGCTGATTTCCTTTCATTTCAATTTCAAGCTTAGACTGACTAAGCAGTCTGTATAATTAATTAATTAAATAAAATATCTGTTTATGGTTTCCTCATAACCAGTTGTTGGTTACGACAATTGTGAAAAGATTTTTGCTTGATAGCTACATAAGTAAAGCACATGAGAAATGCCTCATAAATAGTTCGCGTATGCTTCACCTTCTTCTGATAAATGCATATTTCACGCCAGTACATACGCATATCTAAACATATTCGCATTACTTGACTGGAAACAAACAACAAACGTGTGAAAACTATTAGGGCTTGTAAAATGCGGGCATTGCACCTTTGAAATATGTAAATAACTATATATTTGGTTGGCACAGTCGTAAAACTGACAAAACTAAGCTATGAATCGGTTCAAGGTTAGCTCAGATGACCTAATTGCAAAAGGGCCATATTTCATAACTTTTTGGATGACTGGTCGACCAATATGTTGACAGACAAATAGAGAGACTGGCAATTACTACAAGTATACTGCGTAGTTACATTTTTCTTCCTTTTTGGCAAAATGTTGAAAGGCAGTGAATAAAGAATTTATCAAACAAATTGCTAAAAGGTGAATAGTTTAATTGTGCTCTAAAGCTAACATATATTTGTGTAATTTGAAGCCCAATAGTAGCTTTTTACTCAGTCAAGCGATGGCAATTTGCGAAGTTGAAAAAACTTACAAATGCACAAAGCGACCCATCTCACAACACAATAGAAAGGACTCAGTGTTATTTAAAATTCTTTCTTTCCGCCTGAAAAGTAAACATTACATTTTCTTGCTCCTTTGTTGACTTTATTTAAATTTGAACCGATTGCTTTCACAAACGCTCGAATACTTTTATTTTTGTGTTTGTTGGTGTGAGCCTTAAAGCGTTTAACTGACTTCATGTTGCGCAGTTCAATAATGTAACTAAATATTCGATTGGCATTGAGCCCCGCAATTTTAACAATAAGTATACAATGGACTACACAGCTGGTAAAATTTCACGCACAGCGAGCCACAGAAAAAACAACAAGGTTGGCGCATCGCAATATGCAAATTGTTATTAACTTAATTTCGCTATATTTTTGTAAGGGCTTAATTTTAAAATTTATTCTAAGTGTCTTTTAATTCAACACTTCACTACCCACTTAGTAGAGTTGTCATCTAAAAAATGTTCGTATACTTAATGTTTGGTTGGCCCAGCAATAAAAATGAATTCAACAGAAAACCAAACTGTTTGATTTTCAATGGAACCCAGCGGACTTAAGTTAATTGATTTATTCATTTATACATTTAAGCTGCCGATTTTTTGAATAACTATTATTTAATTTTATGCTTTTGCTTTTATTCAATCTCGGTTATAGTTATTGTTGAAATGAGAATTAGTTTGCACGCGAATCTCATTAATACTAAATAATTGCGATTCACTCTACATTGTGTAATTGAATAAAATGTTTAGTCAAAATGTTTAAAAGGTTTACATCTTGGCTAAAATTGGAGAGATTAAAATGTTGGTAAGCTAGTCTACAAAAACATCTGCAACTCTGTAGCATACTTTTGTGCTGTGAAGACATTAAAGATTGGAACCATTTTTGTACAATTGTATAGTATACTCGAGTACGTAGACACGAGGAAGTGTTTATTTGATTCATTTTTAATGATTGAAAAATCGCAATGAAAACAAAATCAAATCAGGGCTTGGATGATATCATCCAATCATGCTGATTCTGCAAGGTTAGGTAAATACCTTAGGTCTCACTCTGGACAGGCGACTTGACGTGCCCATATTACTGGTAAGAGAAAGACCCTCAACACAAAGCTTGGGAAGCTATACTAGCTTCTGGACCCCAGATTCAAATTGCGCCTTTGCAACAAACTACTTACCTACAAGGCTAGACCTACGGCATTCAACTATAGGGGGCAGCCAGTCGCTGTAATGGAGAGACACTACAGCGGTTCCAAAACAAACTTTGTTGCAAATCAGGACATTGGAACACAATGGGCCGATAATAAAATTATATAATAGGCCTGAATAGGCCTGCCGGAACATAACTGCCTGCAGGAATAAAAAATCTTTAAATAAAATTTAAGCACGATAGAAAGACAGGCTCTGCGGTTCGCACTGTTGTAGAAGTCTGTCACGCTTTATTATTCGCTCAAAAACATTTTTGTATCCAGACGATTGTTAATATCACGCCTCATATAATATTCCAATGTATACCTAACTCAGTAACAATTGCTGGCATTGAAGTGGTGAGTAAATTAACTTGTCTTACTACCTACTTTTATTCATTTGCTTTGCACTCCTTCTCGTATTTTTGCGAGTGTGTTGATAGGCCAACGACCTATGCTACTAAAACGTTGAAGATGGCTTTTTATACCCTGTATCCGTGGGGTGAAAAGGGTATGTTAGGTTTGTGCAAAGTATGTAACATACAGAAGGAAGCATCTCCGACCCCATAAAGTATATATATTCTGAATCAGCATGACGAGAGAAATCGATCTAGACATGTCCGTCCGTCTGTCCGTCCGTCTGTCCGTCCGTCTGTCCGTCCGTCTGTCCGTCCGTCTGTCCGTCTGGATGAACGCGAGGATCTCAGAAAATATAAGAGCTAGAATAACCAAAGTTGGCATCCAGATTCTCCTAGGTCCGAGAAAGGACGAGTTTATTTTATTTTTGGGAAATTTCCCCCCCTTCCCCCGCTACAGAATTTCGTCAATAGCGTCCACATTTCAAATGCTATCTAAACCAAACTTTGCACACATAATTTATACATAATTACCTACTGTTGTTAAAATTTATTCAATTCGGTCAATTCTAAGACAAGTTATTAGCGAAACAAATTCTCGCCAGTACAACCCCCCGAAACACAGCAACAAGCTCGCTCTTCTTCTTCCTCTTTTTGCTCTCTGCTGCTATGGGCGCATATAACTCAGTGACGGAAGTTTACCTGGGGTACAGGGTATTACACTGTCGGGCTTGCTCGACTGTAGCGTTCTCTCTTGTTTTTAATGCCAGGGTACTGTAATTTACAATTCTTTGCATAAACGATGAAAAATGAAAACAGCTAATGATTTTCCATTTTTTCTTACATTTTATTTTATTTAATTTCAATATTCTCTTTAGACATAACAATTCATTTTTCCATCTCAATCATTATTAGAGTAGACATTAAATAAACTAAGAACTAAAAATTAAAAAGAAAATGAACAAATTAAAAATTTACAATTTACAAAAATGCATAATAAACAACATGTCACAAACAAACTTTCCGTTTCATATCTGCTTCCATATGACGAACACAAACAGGAGAAAGGGATAACAAAGTGTCCGAGACAGGCTTGATGTGCATTTAACGTAGATTAGAATACATTTACAAAAGCGAACTGGTTTAGGAGTTTAGGCACATTGTTATCCTCGACTGGCAGAGTTTAAGAGTATTCTCGATACTAATGAAATACTTAGACTACTCTAGATAGTTGAGTTAGATTGTAGTACGGGGGGAATGTGCAGTGGTCGGGAAGTTTGGAAGTGCAGTGCTGGAATGGGAAAAAAGCGGGATTGCATGGGATTGGTATAGGTATGTTTTAGGTGCGTCTAGTTCGTGGTCGACTCTGCAACAGTCTCGACCTTAGTGCTGGTCTTGTCAACGTCAACGCTATCGGCTTTAGTCAAAGTAGTGGTCTCCTTGCTCTCCTGCGAGGCAGCAGCAACGGGAGCTTCTACGGTTTCCTTGCTGGACTCGGCTTTTGGCGCTTCAGCCTTTACTTCGACGGCTGTGGTGGCTGCCTGCACTTCAGCGTTGGCTGCATTGGGTGCTTCAGCTTTGACTTCGACTGGCGTTGCGGCCGCTGCTTCTGTAGCCTCAGGAACCACCTTGGGTGCTTCAGCCTTGACTTCGACTGGCGTTGCGGCCGCTACTTCAGCAGCCTGCGCCTCAGGAACAGCCTTGGGTGCTTCAGCATTGATCTCGACTGGCGTTGAAGCTGCTGCTTCGGCATCGGCTTTGACGGCGGGTACAACCGCCTCCGGTGCTTCCGCTTTCACCTCAACGGGTGTAGCAGCAGCTGCCACAATCGGTGCCTCTGGTGCTTCCGCTTTCACCTCAACAGGTGTAGCAGCAGCTGCCACAATCGTTGCATCCTCAGCATTGGTTTCGCGTTTCTTGTGCAAACGATTGGGCAAGTTCTGGGTGCAGGAGCAAGGGCACATGCATTGATCCTTGGGCGCACCGCCGGTGAAGATGGAGTGCAGACTGTAGGAATTGGGCTGCACACCTAGCGGGAATGGGTCAACGTTCTGGTACTTGTCGCTGGGGTTTATCGAGTTTTCGTTGCAATTGCCGTATAATTCGTTTGGCAATATGACCACGGGCATGAATGCGATAACTGCACCTTTGGGTATCTTGTCCGGTGGATAGAAAGCAGGCTGACCCGATACTTGTGGTATGGCGGGCAATTGTGTTAGTGACATGGCATTTGTTATGCTACCGAAATTCGTATTTCCACAGAAACCGGAGAATTGCTTGTTGAAGTCTACAGAGGCCGGGTTGGGGATATTGGAGGTGGTGGAGGAGGTATGTGTGATTTTCGATGAGTGCGTGTTGTCTGCATTACAAACACAATTGTTGCTGCTGGGTGTTGCCGGCACATGCAATGGGGGAGAGGGACGTGGGGTTACTTTCTTGGTAGGCTCTACGTAAATGTTCTGTGTCGGATTTGGTCGTAGGGGCGTTGGCACCTTGCCCGGAATTATGGATACAGGAGGCGTCGGATGATACTCCACCTGCACTGCAGGTGTTGGCTTATAGGCCGAGACTGGTTCGAAGGGACGCGGGGTCGACGGTGTTCGTATCGGTTCGTAAGGTTTGTACGTATTTACAATGTGCGGCTGTTGTGGCAGTACGGGTACGGTCTTATGGATATCAAAATTACCCGTTGTTATTGGAGTTGTAATGCTTTTTATGGGCTTATCCTTCTCAATAGTGATAGCCGGGACCTTTGGCTGGATAACCGTCGTTATTTTTTGGGATGGCGGGTTCACAGGAACGTTGGGAGGAGCGGTTTTGGGGATAGAAGGAGGAATATATGTTAGTGGCGCTTTTGTTGGCACTTTCTTTTGCACAAAATTATCATTGTGATCATAATTTGGCTTAAAAATAGGTGTGCTGGGCTTGGATGGCGTCTCTAAAGCTACAACATGCGATAAGGATGGGGGAGGATGCGAGATTTTACCCGGTTGGTCAGGTGGCAGGTACCCAGGTGTCTCCTTGTCCGATTGTCTGGGATCCTTTGGAATGCGAGGAGGTGCTGGGGGACCTGGAGGACCCGGTCGTGTTGGGCCAGGTGGGCCGGGATAAGTTGGACCTGAAATGATAAACATTAAAATTAGTTTATTGAGTTTCCTGCTTTCATGTAAACATTTTCGTATTACCTGGTGGTCCAGGTGGGCCGGGACGAGTTGGTCCTGAATCGATGAAAAATAGATCAATTAATTTTTACCATTCATTTTCCGATGTCATGCTATATTCTTATTACCTGGTGGGCCGGGTGGTCCGGGATAAGTAGGACCGGGTGGGCCTGGTGGGCCATATGGTCCAGGTCTGGTTGGACCTAGAGGGCCTTTAAGAATAACTTAATTAGACCCTATCTTTTATATTTTTCATGTTGATTATTCTTACCAGGTGGTCCGGGGGGTCCGAAGGGTCCTATTTGAGAGATTAAATAAATATTATGAATCTGTAATTAACATCTTAATCTCATCATATTCACCTTTAGGTCCGGGTCTGGTTGGTCCCTGTGGTCCGGGAGGTCCTGGAGGTCCTACATTTTTAAACGTGTAAAATAAATTATTTAGTGATATTTACAACTTTTAACCCCGCAGAGATATTTGTGTTCGCCACTTGGTTTTATTGTGTCATCCGATCCATTACCTAATAATAATACTTTGATCAGATTTGCACATACCTGGTGGTCCGGGAGGTCCTTTGGGGCCTATAATAAAATAAGAATTACACTATAGAATCCTTACTTCAAATAATAATTTATTATATAGCTATTATATAAAATGATATTATGCCTGTCTACTATTTCAAAATTTACCTCCAGGTCCTTTTGGTCCTCCGGGTCCTTTTGGACCGCCTGGTCCGCCTGGGCCGCCGGGTCCGACGCCACCACCATCACCATTGCCGCCTTCACCGCCATAGCCGCCTTCAGGTCCTATAACATGGACATATGGAGGTGCTGGGGGTCCAGTAGGGCCTTCAACGTGAACATATTTGCCGGAATCATCGTGATAGTATTTGCCATCATTAATACCTACAAGTAAGAAGTTGTAAAATCAAATTAGTCTACCATTCCAAAAACTAGTTGAACCAGCCAGTGGAAAGCGAAAACTCACCTTTGTAACGACCATCATCTGCATTATATTTACCGATATCTATGGGGAATAGAAAGTAAATATGGAGCATAGAAATCCATTAGTAATATTGCTACGAATTCATTCAAGTGCGAATACTGTAAACTAGCTAGGAGTAACTACGAGTACGATCAAAAAAAGTTATACTACTGAACATTTATTTAATCCTACATTACAGATAAAACATCTAAGAGTGACTAATACCAAAACCGTTAATACATATAACTAATAATTAAGCAAACAATATACGAGTATATATGTGTGGATTTTAGTCAGATATAGGTTGGCTCTACTATGTATTTGTTTTTGTTTTTGTGTTGTTTGTTTTTATTAGTTTGGGAAACCATTACCAATTTACTACGGGTTAAGGGATTAGTATTTCATTGCTTAAGCATTTGTATGGGTGTGGCGATGTGCAGTGTAAATATTGTACAAATGTTTCAATGTTCTTGGACATTGAGTGAAATGATGCGTCTGTATGTTGGTGTGCATGTCTTTGTGTGTGTGCGTGTGTTTGTATGTGTGTGTGTGTGTGCTTGAGTCTGGTGCTGGGTGCAAACATGAATGCATGAGTGAATCACTTGTGATGCATTGATCCCAGCAATGTGCCAGGATACTTAGACAAAGATGCCAAGAGTTTTGAGATTGAGAGAGAAACTTTGATTTGAATATTGTATTGCGGTCTTACTGGAGTGTAAAACAAATATTGTTCTTTTGTGCAGATAGAAGAGAAGAGAGAGAAAGAGAGAGAGCGAAGAATATTTAAAAATATTGCTTGTTCAAAATTGTGCGCTAATTGGAGTTGTGCTCTAATACAATAACTTTAAAACTAAAGAGTGTCCTATAATTGCCTGCCGTTCCTGATTTGAGGTATTGAAAAATAAAATAATATTGAAAGTGCGTTTACGGTCAGAAATAATATTTCTTTGCTGAAAATAAACGAAATTGCTTAAAATAGAGCATAAATTATATTAGCGTATAAATAATATATATATATAGCTGTGGTGATTTATAAATATGATATAATTATCTGATATAGAATTAGAGGAAACTTAGGAGTAAGCCATGGAGAAAAAATTTGAACGAGCTGTTACTCGAAAATGTGAGAATGGCAATAAAAGTTACAACATTATAGGATCGGAACATGGATGGACCTAAACGACGGAGGCGCAGGTGCCAGCTCGTTCAAATTTTGTTCTGCTCGGCGCCATAGTGCAGAACGTACCTTGTGTGTATCCGACGGCCCCAGGAAAACTGGTAATATATCGGTCGCTGACTCCAGTGTATTGCCCTCCAGCAGGGCCGCCCCCGCCGCCAATGCCGGTAATACCGATTCCGGAACCACTTCCATCACGATGGGGACCGCCACTACCGTTGCCGGAACCGTTTCCATCACGATGGGGGCCATCCCCAGCGTTTCCGGAACCGTTTCCATCACGATAGGCGCCGCCACCACCGATTCCGGAACCGTCCCCACCACGATAGGCGAAGCCACCACCGCTTCCAGAACCAGTTCCATCACGATAGGCGCCGCCACCACCGTTTCCAGAACCGTTTCCGTCACGGTAGGCGTTGCCACCACCGTTTCCGGAACCGCTTCCGCCACGATAGGCGCCGCCACCACCGTTTCCGGAACCGTTTCCATCACGATAGGCGCCACCACCACCGATGTTACCACCGGCACCAGTGCGAGTACGGTCACCATCCTGATATACCAGTTTTCCTGAGGTACCGCCTCCCACGCCGACAGGTCCAAGGGGTCCAGGTGGTCCAGGTGGTCCGATTGGTCCCTTAGGTCCATCTGGACCATTGGGGCCATTGGGGCCATTTGGACCGTTAGGTCCATTTGGTCCAAAGCCTCCACCCGAGCCATTGCCTCCACTACCGCCTTTGCCGCCCTGTCCGCCTTGTCCGCCCTGTGGGCCCACTATATGGTTGTAATTATTTCCGTCATGCTGATATTTTCCACCATTGCTGCCACCACCTGAAACACAAAGACGGACGCTAAAGACCGCGACAAGTAGGCAGACGAAATAGAATGGCTCACTGCTATCGCTGGGCGGTAAAGCGGCTACTGAATGGAACGAGGGTGCCTGATCTCCAGGACTGCCTTCATACGTGTGTCCCTTGCCGGTGTCGAACAATCCACCGGGAATAGGCAAGCTCTTAATGGCCGAGCCCTTCAAAGGAGGAATTTCCGAGGCCTTGGAGAAAGCAGGGACTTCCTGCTTTTTCTTGTTCTAAAAAAACGACGTTGTTGTATCAAAGAATAGAGTTCGACTGCCGGCTTAAACTACGGCTTACTTCCTCCACAATGATGTAGGGAATGTTGGGACGCGCGCCGCCCTCAAACTTGCCGCAGCCAATGGGGAAGTAGAGTTCGTGCCACTGCAGTAAAACGCCGGAACCGGCACGTGCGCCGTCCTTCTCGCTGAACTGACTCGGTGGGAAGGTCTCCACCGGCTGCTCTGGCTCCACCGTTCGATAGCCATGGGCATCGGCGACATAATGTGTAGCCCGCAGTAGGTTGTAGGGATCGATGAGACCGTAACAGCCGTAGGTGACCCCATCAGGACCACGCGTCTCGTGATGGAAGTTACCGGTAAGACCGACATCGTATCCATAACGATAGGCATCTGGGTGTGGTTGTTGTTGTTGTTGTTGGAAGTGGTCGCATGTTTGTTGTTGGTGGGGATGTTTTGTATTTTTTGGTAGGGTGTGGAAAATAATGTTTTAGAGTATAGCGGATGGTGTATTTGTTTTGATTGGCATGTTTGTTGTTGCCTGAATTTGTTTTTTGCTTTTGTTCTTTGCAAGAGAAGAAATTTGTGCTGAGCTGTGCTGTGAAGTTTGTGTTGAAGTTGAAGAAACTTGGACCTAGGACCTGCCATCTGACCTATCCTCACTAACTGCCTAAATTGAAAACTGATTTTTTGCGCTGAAACTGTAAAAGTTGAACATATGCCTGGCATATATAGTATACATATGTTGTAGAAGATGTCGGTGTTTGGGCGTGTGTTGTTGGTTTTGTGTGTTGTTTTTTGGTTGGTTTGGGGGGAGGGTTTTATTGTTGTTTGTTTTGGTTTTGGTTTTGGTTGGTTTGCTTTTGGTTTGTTTGGTATTTGGGTAATGGTGAGGAGGAGGATGAGTATGCGAAGCTTTTATTTTTATGCAATACTTGTTTCCACTAAGAACAAAATAAATACATAAGAAATGTAAAAAATATACATAAAAGATAGACAGAGCAGAGCGCATAGGTAATAGAGAAAGAGAGAGAGAGAGCGTTGTTTGGTTTTTGAGCATATTTACAATTTGAGTGTGTCTGAGGTGGTGGCATAGCTACGACGCACACTACTAGATGTCCACAGTGAGTTTAGTAAAGCTACTACAAGGATAATAATTACTACAAGATCCAGGATAGTATTGTTGATACGATTCGCTTTGATTGAGTTGGAATAAAATATTAATGTGTAAGTTTGTTGTGTTCAACCGTTCAGTCGTTGCTGAACTAGTTTTTTTTTTTCGTGGGGGAATTTAAAAAGTAGCTTTGACTTGACAATTATATAAGAATACTCAGTACTGAAGTGATCTACAACGAATTACTTTAACAACTACGATACTACAGTAACGAACAAATTACTTGTATATATGTAACCACAACTGCCGTTTGGCAGTCGTGCAAACAAACGATACTTAAACGAACAATACAAATTTTCTACTAAATACGAATTACATATTACAGATTGATGTAGGATACACAAATAAATAATAATATTCTGAATGAGTAATGGTAAAGAGAGATATATAAACTATATAGTCAGTATGAGATAGAGAGTGATAAGTGTGAGCAGGAAATCAATGTGAACTCGTAACAAAGTCAACTAATATTTTACAGTTGATGGGTAAAGAGGAAATTAGATAGTTTTGAATGATATTCTCGATGAGGGTTAAGTAGAACTCAAAACAAATTGATAAACGGTATTACTTACTTGTGTCAAAATTTGACGAATAATATTGTTGATTCGTTGTCTTTTTGTCGTTTATATCAAGTATAAGACGACGATGCTCTGCATCAAATTTTGCAGAGTATACGCATTGCATGAAAATGCAAGCGACGACCTGTGAATCAGAAATTAAACAACATCATTAATAACACTCACAAAAACGTATTTCTTACGATTTCAAGTGTATATATATACTATGTATAATATAAAGAGTTTTACAATTTCACAACTTAATTCAAAAGGCATTCATTTTTCACGCCAGCCAACACAGACAAGCCCTATTTTGGGCATACATTTTCGTTGCTCTTTACCAATATTTTCACATCCATGAGACACGCGCCCACTACTTTTTCAGTTCGATTTGTCTACACACACACGCACACACACACACAAAGGCACAAAGTGATTATCTTATTTTCTGGTACTTCGATGAGTCAAAAATTCCGAGCTCAAGGCAGTTGCCGCAACGACTGTGACTGTTCAGCCTCAGTTTGTACTCATTTAAGTTATAACCAAATCGACAAATCGCATATCAGCCAAACCATTTAGATCCGGTTCAATTCGCTTAGCTCACTTCTCCACATACATGCTAAATGCCCAAAAAAAAAAAATATATATATATATACTCGTATATATAATAAAGCTGATGCTACACAACACGCGAAATGTCAAAGACGCAATATTCAAATTAAACATTTTTGTGTGCGCAGAATTCTTGTTTAGTTCGAGAGCCGTCTCAGCGGTCGTCAACGCATCGTCAGAAGATGACAAACCTATTCGAGCTCGATTAGTTTTTTGTGTCTTTCTGCCCCCTCCCCCTCCCTCTAGAAGTTGCACCTTTTATGCTAATTTGTGCACATTTGTCGCAACAAATTTCAGACCAAATGATTCGCCCCACCGTCTCATGCGCCGTTTCTTTGGAGCGCATGCGTGGCCGCTGCTTGAAAAATTGCGCCGAGCGACGAAAATGTCAGCGATAAATGACGCAGATGGAAAAACGAGTTGAAGTTAGTGGCTTTGACAGTTATGGACAATTAGCTTGGATTTTGAGCACACTGCAGCATTTTGAGCTCGACGTGAATGGCTGTAAATTAAGCAGCTCTTATTTATTAGGGGCGAACAATTCAAAATGTAAAATACGAGTATGTAAAAATGATTGCGTTGTGTAATCATAGAGTTACGCAGCTTCATTTGATATTAATTATAGGTTTCTTTTCCTAATTTATCACCATTTATTGGGTAAGCTGAAGGCCTGCCGTCAGATTTCTGATGCAACAAAATACAAGGTGGAAATGTTATGTTTAAAGATTTTTGAATGATTTATATTTCTGTAACTATTTTCATAAACAATCTTTCCAGGTGTTAACCAACAACGACTATATGGAATTAAAACTCCATATTTTAATTGAATTTCCACATACAAATATTTCATGCAAAATATTCATTTTGTTAAAACCTTTCTAAATATTTTTATGAACAAACTCTTCGGTGTACTTTTAACTTTAAATCGAATTTAGTATTTTCGTATGTTTCTGCTTTCGATTAACACCCATTTACAATTTTCAATCTCATATTATATACCTACTTATATACTATTTACTAGCTCTAAGTTAGACTTTTTATGAGTATGGGTTTGTTTTGTGTGCAAAGCGATAAAACTAATATTTATTAGCCTTGCCATGTTTGGTTATTTTTTTATAAATGCGTACATATTTCGTATATATTATTGAACAATTTCAAATTAACATAAATTATATAACTCATGTCAAGTTCCGCTAATAATAAAACTTCCTTCTTTAAAAACCGAAACCGTTTGAATTTAGCGTGAAAAACGAGTTGCCAACTTAAAAGCCAGTTTAGTTTTACATTTCAAAACTATTTTTGTTTTTTTTTTTTAGAATTTCGTTGGTAATAATTCTTGGCTTCACTCACGTATCTTTGGCTATCAAAATCGAATTTCATTAATTGTATTATGCGCTAAAGTCTTCAACCGACCTTCACATTATGCTAAGCAATTAATTAGTTTATGCTGTATGATGAATTTATTTTAAAGCTATTACTTCAACTGTTTTCATTGTTATCTCGCCTGTTTGCTGGCAAAGCTGTTCATTTCTTTTAACTTGAACTTAGACTTCGGTTTGGAAAAAGACAAAGTCAAAGTGAAAATGTTCGTGTTGGCGATTTTTTTTGGCATTTATGGCAGACAATTTGGGCGTGTTGTTGGCAAGCCTCAAAATTTATTTAGCACTTCTTTTTTTTACATACATATTGCGGTCAGACAAACTCGCATTTGTACAATAAGTAATTATCAAGAGGGAAACCCGTTATTTGGGACATTACTGGTTTCATTTTTATTAATTTTTGCTTTATGCACTTGTCTAACCCTAAATGCACAACATTTCTGATGTCAATGACCAAGAAAGGCAGGCAATTTGTGAAAATATCAAGTGGTTTGTCTGCCTGTTCTCGAAACTGTGGCAAGGTCAATATTTTCATTGCTTTTTAATAATACCTTTTGCATACATATGGGCTTGTTTAACACACATAGGAGCTGTGCTACGTAGACAGGCACCAGACACACGATTGATTTTGGCACAAGCCGCACGTTGGCCCCGGCACGTTGGGAGCAAATAAAACGAAAATCAAACCACTTGAAGGAAGCGGCTTTGCAACAACTTGCTGCAGGCGCCGCCACCAAAGCAAATGGGCTGCGTTTTGAACAGCTCAAGCTCATATATACAACATACATACATATTGATGTATACTATACAGACGATGTAGCAGTCCAGCTGTACAGGTGTCTGTGTTTTGTTTGCCTATTTGCTCACTTCATTTTGACAGTAGTCGTTGACCAGCGGCTATTCACACTCGCAGACACACGCGAGAAGAGCAGTGGATCGGTAGTTGTGGGTCTTAAAGATGCAAATTACTTTAATAACCAAAGCCGGCACAACTGCCACAGCCTCCTATGTATTCTTTTTTTTTTCAATTGATTGGCGTGCATGAATTTTTCAGCAACTTTGCAAAAAAGAAATACAAATTATTAAAAAATTATGCAGGCATGCTCAAGGCGCTGCAGACGCTCCAATATCTCAACTGATCAATAAAAACAAATAAATATTTTGCATACCGAACCTTATCGTCAAAGTATTCAATTTAA